GCTTGCAGGCTCTAGAGCACAGGCTCAGCAGTTGTGGCGCACGGGCCTAGTTGCTCCGCGGCATGTGGGATCTTCCCAGACCAGGGCTTGAACCTGTGTCCCATGCATGGCAGGAGGATTCCTAACCACTGCGCCACCAGGGAAGCCCAGAAAAGCATTCTTACGTAGAAAAAGCCTACTGAATAATTTTTGAGGTCAAAGGGTGTGCATATTTTAAATTACAATGGATCTTTTAAGAAAATTTATATACTCCTTGATATATTAATATTAACACACTCTTAAACAAGCAACCCTGTTTCTTTCCGTCATCACTAAAAAGCCTTTTTTTAACCTTTTTTGATATGGTGGACAATAACTCACATCTCCTCTTAATTTGTACTTTGTTATTAGTAAGGCTGAGCATCTTTCATCTGTTTATTATCCATTTGTCTTTTTTTGGTAAACTGCTTATTTATGGGATTTGCTCTAATTTCTTCAGGCCATTGGCCATTTATTATTATACTACAGATATTTTTTCATTATTCATGGTTTGCCTTATGATGTTACTATCAAAGTTTTTGGCATGCAAAATATCAATTTTTTTGTAGTCTACTTACCAATTATTTTCACGTAAGGAGTTAGTGTTTTGGGTCATGCTTAGTGGCCTTCATTAATCCAAATTTCTAAAAATGTTTCTTAAACACAAAGTGCAAAGGCTTTCAATGTTTCATCTAAAACATTAAATTCTTTGATTTAATCACAATTTACTTATGCTTGAGACCTGAGGTAAAGGTCTCAGCTTTAAAAAGCAACAACACAAACTGATTTAATGAGCCTGATTCAATAAAGCCAAGAGAGAGAACTGGGGAACCGGAGGTCTTCAAGCCTTTCCAGCACTTTTCTTTGGCCAGGCAGAGGAAGAGGCTGCTGAGGTTACTAGGAAGCTGGAGAAACAGGAGAAGAAACACTTGAAGAAGGAAAAGGCTGGCTGCGATTGCCCTGGCGTCTTCAGAAAACAGCAGCAGGACCCTGGAGGAATGTGAGGGGACAAGTGAAAGAGCCGAAAAGAAGCAAAAGCCCCAGGAGGCTCCTCAGGAGAATGGAATGAAGACCCATCTGTCTCCTCCAAACCCCCCCAAAAGAAATCTTTTTCCAAGGAGGAGCTGGTTAGTAGTGATCTTGAGGAAACAGCTGGCAGTGGAAGTCTCACCAAAAGGAAGAAATCTTTCCCCAAAGAGGAACCAGTGAGCGACCCTGAAGAGTCAGGAAACAAGAAGGTCCCCAGGCAAAAGAGGAAATTCTCTTCCAAGGAGGAGCCACTCAGCAGTGGACCTGAAGAGGCTGCTGCCAGCAAGAGCAGCAGCTCCAAGAAGAAGAAAAAGCTCTGAAACCTCCCCCAGGAAAATCAGAGTGGACATTTCCCTAGTGGGGCATAACTTGCAGACGTTATTTCCCAACCCATCCCCTATCTCAATAAAAACCAAACCAAAACAGAACAAGCAAACAAAGCCACAAAACAGTGCTTAGCTGGTTGCTCCCAAGCCATTCATCATCCTTTTGTCCGGCTCCTCTCAGTTGATTTAACACGCCCCTATTACAATAACCGAATTTCCATAAATTCTTGGATCTGTTTTGTGACTCATTGTTTTACTGATCCATTTTGGCACTGATATCATATTGCTGATGATTGGAACTTTGTTTAGTGCCTCTTAGCCGAATAACCTCCCCAGATTCCCTCAACCGCACGTGTTTTCAGAAGTGTCTTGATTTTTATAGATATGTTAATGCTTTCAAATTAACTTTAGAATCAGTTTTTCCCCCCAGATTGACTCAAAAATACTACTGGGATTTTGACTGAGAAACCATTAGAGTTACTACAGATTACTTTGAGAACCGTTTTTTAAAACAATACTGCATTTTTCTAAGAACTAAACAAATTTATTCAATTTTTCGTGTCCCTTAGTAGGGACATGAAAAGTACCTTCATATATGTAATACATTTCTTAAGTTTATTCCTAAGTATTTTATTTTTGTTCCTATTTATCTGCGTCCAACAAAGTTAATGTGCTGTATTTTCATTCCATTCAATGTTGTTTTTTATTTTTCTTGAGACTTCTTTGACCTGTGGATTGTTTAGAAGTGTCTGGAGATTTTGCTGTCTTTATTTCTAGCTTTGATAGCATTTGAGTCAGAGAACACATTCTATAATTTCAGTTCTTTTAAATCCTTTGAGGTTAATGTTATGGCCCAGAACGAGGTCTATCTTGGTGAATGTTCTGCTGTTTGTTCGGTGGGTGTTCTATAAATGTCAATGAGAGCCTCTTGGTTGATGGTGTCATAAAGTTCTATATCCAGCTGATTTTGTCTAGCAGTTTGTCAATTGAGAGAGGGGTATTGAAGTCTCCAACTATATGTAGATTTGTTTCTCCTTTCAGTTTTTTCTGAAAGAATGTAATTTGAAGCTCTTTGGTGTATAAACCTTTAGGAGTGTTTTCTTGTTGGACTGAACCTTTTATCATTGTGTAATATCCCTCTTTGTCCCTGGTCTGGGCTGATTTTTAGAAGTAGAGATTTACAGATCTGTTTTTTGATACAGTGAATCTGGAGTGGGGCCTGAAAATATGCATTTTAACAAAATTCCCAGCTGATTTTTAGTGGTTTTGGTTTATTTGGTTTTTTGGATCTATACCCAGGAATGGAAATGCTGGGTCACATGGTAGTTCTGTTTTTAGTTTTCTGATGAATCTCCATACTGTTTTCCACAGTGGCTGCATTCTCACCAACAGTGCACAAAGGTGCCCTTTTCTCCACATCTTCGCCAACATGTTATTTGTGTTCTTTTTGATTATAGTCATTCTGACAGGTGTGAGGTGATTTCTCGTTGTAGTTTTGATTTGCATTTCCCTGATTAACGATGTTGAGCACCTGCTAACATGCAGATGTGCCTGTTAGCCATCTGCATTTCCTCTTTGACAGGATGATTTTTATAATTAGGTATTACTCAGAGTTCTTGCTTACAAACAATAAAAACTGACTTTGGTTAACTTAGGCAGAAAGGAATTTTTAATTTTTTTAATTAATTTTATTTTTGGCCATGCTGTGCAGCATACAGGATCTTAGTTCCCTCACCAGGGACTGAACCCGTGCCCCATGCAGTGGAAGTGCGGAGTCTTAACCACTGGACTGCAAGGGACATCCCAGAAAGGAATTTATTGAAAGAATATCCAGTAACACTGACTTGATTGCTAGAGTCCTGCTAGGAAGCAGAGCCCTAAACCCCTCTAGGGAAGCCAAAGAAATGAAGGAATTGCTCTCCCTGATCCTAGTTGGTAGAGCACAAAGTTTTATGACCTAAACTTAACCATCAGGCTCTCACACCACTTCAGACTTTGAATCTGGTGCAAAGAATATGAAGTAGAGCTAGTTTAGAATTCAGCCTGGTGGTGGTGAGAATTTTGGTGTCAAAACAGAAGTGGCAGTAATGGCAGAACCTAGACACATGCCTAACTGTGGCATCATTTGGTCATGGTTCAGACTGCCTGGTCTCCTTTGGTTTCCATCTCTTTTATCATCCTGGTTTCCCAAAACTCCTGTTTGGCGAAAATTGTAACATATTTTATTTTGGGAGATAAAATCAGAAAATAATAACTATCACTTGCTAGGTCAACTACGAAATAGTAAATGTGGTTAATACCATGGGTTCTGTTTGCCTGACAAGTGGAATGATTTACTGTTTTAGAAGGCAAATAGGCGGACTTCCCTGGTGGTCCAGTGGTTAAGACTCTGCGCATCCAATGCAGGGGGTGCGGGTTCGATCCCTGGTTGGGGAACTAAGAGCCCAGATGCCGTGCAGCACAGACAAAAAAAACGGTCAAGTAGGCCTTATACACAGGATGGGCTCTCAAATTGTGTATCTTAGGGGAACCTTAGTGGTGGTGACAGCAGTAGGGATCTGTTATGTGTCAGGGATCTATCTGTGACTTTGGACAAGTAGTCACTTAGCCCTTCCTTACTCTAGGATTATCTGTAAAGTGAAGAGGTTGGACTAGACCAAAGGCTAGTGTCTAGGTCTCCAAACTGCAATATTCTGTGACTCTAGAGAGCCTCGTTGTTCCTTAATCATTTCAGTTAACCATCCTTGTGAGATTAGTTGACAACTACTACCATGTGCTTGGCTTTTTGCTAACTTTGGGCAAAGTCCTAGGGATGTGTGAGATGGAGTGTCTAAACCAGTGGTCTCCAGCCTCTTTGGCACCAGGGACTGGTTTTGTGAAGACAATTTTCCACGGATGGGGGTGTGGGTGGGGGAGATGCCTCAGGCGGTAATGCGAGCTATGGGAGCGGCAGATGAAGCTTTGCTCACTTGCCCATCACTCACCTCCCGCTGTGCGGCCTGGTTCCTAACAGGCTGCGGACCGGTACCGGTCTGTGGCCTGGGGGTTGGGGACTCCTGGTCTAAACTAACCAGTATCAGGATGAGAATGGTGTCCACTTTTTCTACGGTAAGTTTGATTGGTTGTGACCCATGAAGCATCATGAACACAGACATGTTATCATTTCAGAGACCAGGAAATTACATCTATTCCCAAAAGACTTCCTCCTGGTTGATCCTGTCAGAACTGAAGAGGGAAAGTAGACTTTTAGCAGAGGGGGTACTGCAGGAAAGGAGAGGGTTACAAGTTAAGCTGAATTGGGTAGGAAAACAGGCAGCTCTCCCGTCTTCCCCAGGTACTGGGTTGCTCTGGAGAAGCCTGAGGGGTGAATGCAGGGAGAAGTCTGACTTGGCCAGTGCATGTTAATGTCACTCGCAGCTCATGGAAGAGTCGCACAAAATTACCTACAGTAGCTTGGCCCAAATAAATAATAGACCTAGGATGTCAGGAATGCACGAGTTACAGAACGGCTGCAAAGCCCTTTGTTTACGTATTTGGTGAAGTGAATTCTTATTTTCCCTTTAGCATAAAAGTCAGTTTAAAAGTGACTGGGGCACAATCTATTTAGTCATCCCTTGTGCTTTGCAGGTTCTCATGAGTGCATCATTTCTGGGAGCCTTGTCTTTTCTCATCTGTCTGCGTTGTGTGTGCCATTTCTGCATTTACTCTCCCTACTGAGACCAAAGGACGGGCCCTACAGGTAAGTGATGCAGGACTCTCTTAAGCATTCTCAACTAACACCTTTTGACTAAAGGAAATAAGCTTGGAGTATGGAAATTCTTTTAAGCAGACGATGATACCCAAGTCTGTGCTAACACAATGGTACATCTGTTTAGCAGGTTCCAGTAGAAAAAATGGGTATCCACTGTTCCTGCATATAACTTTGAGCAGCAAACCGATTATTCATTTCAAACCTTTCCTTCTTGTAAAAGTTGACTAAGATGAATGATATTATCGACACCTCAGCTTTCTACCCTTCACTTTTCTGTTTGGAAGCATTGCTGCTGAGCTAAATGTGGCCAGAGGATCAGAAACAGCTATTTGCATTGCCCTTAGGATCACAGGGTCATTACTGTTGGTCCAGCCACCTTTCCCCCAATTTTGTCAGCTGCCTGTGGTAAGACTGGAGGCAAAAACTTCTGTGCTGCCCCAGTTGTCATCCAATACTAACAGACACAAAGTGCATAAAAAAGGATATCCCAAAAGTATAAGGTATGCTCCCGGGGGCAAAGTTGTATCAGAGATGGCCTCTCCTAGCCCCCTTAAGGTTGGCTCCATCTCAAAGTGCAGCTGGTGGCTCTGTTGTTTCCCTGCCTTAAATGTAAAGCTTGTTGCTGGTATGCAAGGGTGTGTGTGTGTGCGCGCGTGCACACGCCCACAGGGAAAGGGGGAGAACAGCTGGGGTTAGCTGTACAGGGGTGACCACTGAACAGCAGGGGGGTTAGAAGCACCAACCCTCCAGGCTGTCAAAAATGCCAGCATAACTTATAGGCAGCCTTTGGTATCCAGTTACTCGCATTTGTGGATTCAACCAACCATGGATCGTGGATTGTACAGTACTAGAGTATTTACAACTGGAAAAAAATCCATGTAAACGTGGACCCGCACAATTCAAACCCACGTTATTCAAGGGTTAACTGTGTCTGATCTGAGCTGCCACATCTAAATGGGACTATGAAGTCATCGTGCTCCTTTGGCTGAATGTGGCTTGCCTTCTCTCCCATATCCTATTTATAGTGAACCATGGACACTTGTTAATGTCTGTGAGTAGTTGGAAAGTATTTTTGAGTAAAGGGGGCGGAGGGAGCAAAACTAAAAAAAACCCCTATTTACACTAGTCTTAATGTTTTTTGCTTGCCCTAGATCCAAAATGTGTTATTCCATTTTCCCCCTAACTTTTTTTTTTTTTTGCGGTACGCGGGCCTCTCACTGCCGTGGCCTCTCCCGCCGCGGAGCACAGGCTCCGGACGCGCAGGCTCAGCGGCCATGGCTCACGGGCCCAGCCGCTCCGTGGCACGCGGGATCCTCCCGGACCGGGGCACGAACCCGCGTCCCCTGCATCGGCAGGTGGATTCTCAACCACTGCGCCACCAGGGAAGCCCTTCCCCCTAATTTTTAATCTTTAAGGTAATACTCATTTAAATCACAGATTAGATAACCTGCTATGTAATTATAAATTTAGGGCTTTGTTTAGATTCCTTACTTGGAAAGGTGACTCATTCATTGAATACCTGAAGCCAGGGATTGAATTAGGTGATTCAAATGATTCCTTTTAATCTTAAAGGATTGTCACATGCTTCAAACAGATGAGGAAACTAAGGCAAAAGGAGAGTTGTGTAACTCGAATAAAGGAACACACTACATACTGTCGGACTGGAATTTAAATTAGACTGCAAAGTTAAGTGATGCTAAATCTTATGCTAACTTTCTGTGATGGTGGCTTTTTTAAAGTAGTAACAATACATATAAAATGAAACCTGGCTCATCTCACGTGCTTTATGGATTTCCAATTCAAGCCCTATCCACTTACGATGACCATTCCCTCTTATGTTGACTGGGACTTGGTTTTAGGGGTGTAGTGAAATTATTTTGCATGTATGTTTACAAGACATTAATCAGTCCCTACCACTTTCACATGCGGCTACAATAAATACAGTTGTATGGGCATGTAGCCCTTGATGGCTCTGCCACACAATGGCTATATGTCTTTGGGCAAATCTTAAAATGTGTCTGTGTGTATCTCAGTGTTGTGAACACTTAACATATGAAACTATCTGGTGACTGATACAATAAAACTCCTAGAAATATTTAAAACATGCCCCAAAATTTAACTTTCTACAGCACAGACAGCATCCCTAATAATTTGGATGAACCAACCTGGTCAATAGTTTAATAGTAGTAATTCCACTTTAGAATGACTCTAAAAAGCTCTTATTTTGATGAACCTGGTAAGTAATCAAAAAACTCTTGAAAAGTATTTATAATGTGACGTTTTTTCCTGAATGATGTCTGTATTGCACTAGAATAACTGAATTATAAAGGTACTATTTGCACTGTCAGGTACACAAAGGTAAATGTTAGACCCTTAATTCCTTATAAGCTTATTAAAGAACCTTCTATTACTAGTTTTTAGTGCCAGATAGTTGAATATGGAGAAGACTTTATAAAGAAGACTTTATAAAAAATTAAATGTATTATCTAATAAATTACTCATTTGCCAGCAACTTAAATGAATTAAGTAAAGACCTGCAAAACTGCGTCTACCAAAGGATAAAAATATATTTTTATCTTCACAAAGAGCTGTGGCACATTTAAAATACACCTGGCTTGGGCCTTCCTGCTGGTGCAGTGGTTAAGAATCCGCCTGCCAATGCAGGGGACACGGATTCAAGCCCTGGTCCGGGAAGATCCCACATGCTGTGGAGCAACTAAGCCCCAGCACCACAACTACTGAGCCTGCGCTCTAGAGCCTGTGAGCCACAACTACTGAAGCCTGTGCACCTACAGCCTGTGCTCCACAACGAGAAGTCACCGCAATGAGAAGCCCATGCACTGCAACGAAGAGTAGCCCCTGCTCGCCGCAGCTAGAGAAAGCCCGTGCACAGCAATGAAGACCCAACGCAGCCAAAAATAAATAAAATGTATAAAAAAATAAAAACACCTGGTTTAATTTCAGTACACTACTTGGTAGTTAAGAAATATTGATTATGTATTTTTGAAAACTAAGACACATGAGAATGCAGTAGGTTAGCTGTATATATTGTCTCAGGGAAGAGATCAATAGAGGACTTTTATAAAATATTCATTAAAGTTGGCAAAGTGTATCTAGGAGAGATGGGTAGGGGGAAGGTGGCTTTCTTCCTTGGCATCAAGTCTGTTCAGGTATATATGAATATGTAATAAATATCAGACAAAACATATACTTGATATTCTCCCATGAAGTTTATAGCAAAAATTGGACTGAAATTTTGTATCTAAGACTTGAATTTGAGGTGGTATCATTAGGCGTTTCAAAACAAATAGAAGTCATCCAACCTGGAAGAAATGGACATATTCTTAGAAAAGCACAACCTTCCAAGACTGAACCAGGAAGAAATAGAAAATATAAACAGACCAATCACAAGCACTGAAATTGAAACTGATTAAAAATCTTCCAACAAACAAAAGCCCAGGACCAGATGGCTTCACAGGTGAATTCTATCAAACATTTAGAGAAGAGCTGACACTCATGCTTCTCAAACTCTTCGAAAAAATTGCAGAGGAAAGGAACACTCCCAAACTCATTCTGTGAGGCCACCATCACCCTGATACCAAAACCAGACAAAGGTGTCACAAAAAAAACTACAGGCCAATATCACTGATGAACATAGATGCAAAAATCCTCAACAAAATACTAGCAATCAGAATCCAACAGCCCATTAAAAGGATCATACAACATAATCAAGTGGGGTTTATCTCAGGAACGCAAGGATTCTTCAATATATGCAAATCAATCAATGTGATACACCATATTAACAAATTGAGGGAGAAAAACCATATGATCATCTCAATAGACGCAGAAAAGGCTTTTGACAAAATTCAACACCCATTTATGATAAAAACCCTCCAGAAAGTAGGCATAGATGGAACTTAACATAATAAAGCCCATATATGACCAACTCAGAGCCATCATCGTTCTCAATGGTGAAAAACTGAAACCATTTCCACTAAGATCAGGAACAAGACAAGGTTGCCCACCCTCACCACTATTATTCAACATAGTTTTGGAAGTTTTAGCAATCAGAGAAGAAAAATAAATAAAAGGAATCCAAATTGGAAAAGAAGTAAAACTGTCACTGTTTGCAGATGACATGATACTATACACAGAGGATCCTAAAGATGCTACCAGAAAACTACTAGAGCTAATCAATGAATTTGGTAAAGTAGCAGGATTCAAAATCAATGCACAGAAATCTCTTGCATTCCTACACACACAGATGATGAGATATCTGAAAGAGAAATTAAGGAGACCCTCCCATTTGCCATTGCAACAAAAAGAATAAAATACCTAGGAATAAACCTACCTAAGGAGACAAAAGACCTGTACGCAGAAAACTATAAGACCCTGATGAAAGAAATTAAAGATGATACAAACAGATGGAGAGATATACCATGTTCTTGGATTGGAAGAAGCAACATTGTGAAAATGACCATACTACCCAAAGCAATCTACAGATTCAGTGCAATCCCTATCAAACTACCAATGGCATTTTTCACAGAACTAGAACAAAAAATTGCACAATTTGTATGGAAGCACAAAAGACCCCAAATAGCCAAAGCGATCTTAAGAAAAATGGAGCTGGAGGAATCAGGCTCCCTGACTTCTGACTATACTACAAAGCTACAGTAATCAAGACAGTATGGTACTGGCACAAAAAACACAAATATAGATCAATGGAACAGGATAGAAAACCCAGAGATAAACCCATGCACATATGGTTACCTTATCTTTGATAAAGGAAGCAAGAATATACAATGGAGAAAAGGCAGCCTCTTCAGTAAGTGGTGCTGGGAAAACTGGGCAGCCACATGTAAAAGAATGAAATTAGAACACTTCCTAACACCATACACAAAAATAAACCCCAAATGGAGTAAAGACCTAAATGTAAGGCCAGACACTATCAAACTCTTAGAGGAAAACAGGCAGAACACTCTATGACATAAGTCACAGCAAGATCCTTTTTGAACCACCTCCTAGAGTAATGGTAATAAAAACAAAAATAAACAAATGGGACCTAATGAAACTTAAATGCTTTTGCACAGCAAAGGAAACCATAAACAAGATGAAAAGACAACCCGCAGAATGGGAGAAAATATTTGCAAATGAAGCAACTGACAAAGGATTAATCTCCAAGATATACAAGCACGTCATGCAGTTCAATATCAAAAAAACAAAGAACCCAATCCAAAAATGGGCAGAAGATCTAAATAGACATTTCTCCAAAGAATATATACAGATTGCCAACAAACACATGAAAGGATGCTCAACATCACTGATCATTAGAGAAATGCAAATCAAAACTACAATGAGGTATCACCTCAGAATGGCCATTATCAAATCTACAAACAATAAATGCTGGAGAGGGTATGGAGAAAAGGGAACCCTCTTGCACTGTTGGTGGGAATGTAAATTGATACAGCCACTATGAAGAACAGTATGGAGGTTCCTTAAAAAAACTAAAAATAGAATTACCATATGATCCAGCAATCCCACTTCTGGGCATATACCCTGAGAAAACCATAATTCAAAAAGAGACATGTACCACAATGTTCATTGCAGCACTATTTACAATAGCCAGGACACGGAAGCAACCTAAGTGTCCATTGACAGATGAATGGATAAAGAAGACGTGGCCTATATATACAATGGAATATTACTCAGCCATAAAAGGAAAGGAAATTGAGTTATTTGTAGTGAGGTGGGTGGACCTAGAGTCTGTCATACAGTGTGAAGTAAGCCAAAAAGAGGAAAACAAATACTGTATGCTAATGCATATATATGGAACGTAAAAAAAAAAAGTTCTGAGGAACCTAGGGGCAGGACAGGAATAAAGACACAGACATAGAGACTGGACTTGAGGACACGGGGAGGGGGAAGGGTAAGCTGGGACAAAGTGAGAGAGTGGCACTGAGAATATATACACTACCAAATGTAAAATAGATAGCTAGTGGGAAGCAGCCGCATAGCACAGGGAGATCAGCTTGGTGCTTTGTGACCACCTAGAGGGGTGGGATAGGGAGGGTGACGCAAGAGGGAGGGGATATGGGATTATACATATATATACGTACAGCTGATTCACTTTGTTACACAGCAGAAATTTACACAACACTGTAAAGCAATTATAATCCGATAAAGATGTTTAAAAAAAAACCCAAAAAAACAGAAGTCATCAAATTCACAATT